GGCTGCTTGAAAGCTTTTAAGACCCCAGTTGCTTCTCACCAATGTAGGATGAGGAACAAGATTTTTATGTATTTTGTTGTGACAATTGAGTTTGGTGTCCTGTGGTACTATGGTCCTGAGATGGTAGATCCGTTGGATCTCTCTCCCATAGTGTCTGGGTGTCTGTGAGGGATTATTCTGTGTAATCACTTTACCAAGTGCCAAAGGCATTTGATATCCTTCTCCAGGGAATGGTCCCTTCTGACAACACGACCAAAGTAGCTGAGACGAAGTCTGGCCATTCTCATTTTCAAGGAGCATTCTGGCTGTACTTCTTCCAGGACAGATTTGTTAGTTCTTCTGGCAGTCCATAGTACTTTCAATATTCTTTGCCAACACCACAACTCAAAAGCACCAACTCTTCTTCAGTCTTCTTTATTCATTGTCCAGCTCTCATACGCATATGAGGTGATTGAATGGCTTGGGTTAGGCACATTTTAGTCTTGAAGGAGATATATTTGCTCTTCAGCACTTGAAAGAGGTCTTTTGCACAGATTTACGATATGTCTTTTGATGTCTTGACTGCTGCTTCCATTGGTGTTGATTGTGGAACTAAGTAATATGAAATCTTTGACAACTTCAGTCTTTTCTCTATTTATCATGATGCTGCTTATTGGTCCAGTTGTGAGGATTTTCATTTTCTTTATGTTGAGGTGTAATCCATACTGCACACTGAAATCTTTTGTGTGTGTGTGTGATTTGGGTGAAAGTTTACAGAGCAAATTCACTTTCCATACAGCAGTTCACATACACTTTGTCTCACGACATTGAGTACAATTTACCCCAATGCAACAGCTCCACTACCACCTTCTCCAATAGTTTACCTGTTCCCTGTGTCCATCCATCCATGCACTCTTGACCCCTGAGCTGTCTCCCTGTGCATAAACAGTCCTTCTTTCTCCCATGATTGTTCTCTCCAAGGAGTGTATCTCTCTCAGGTAAATGTTCAACTGATACGCCTTTCTTTTGTTTGGCTGGAAGCCACAGGTGTGGGTTCAGTTCCAGATCTAAACGGTAGCTAGGGACCATAGTGTCTGTGTTTCCACCAAGCGCTATCAGACCAGCAAACCTGATCCCCCTCCCCCGCTTTTTCTTTTTCCAAATTATTTTGAGTTTTGTTCCACATTGTTCTCCCTCTCTATCCAGGATCTCCTACATAGATCCCGCTCTGAGTGGTTGACAGTGGTAGCCAGGCACCATCTAGTTCCTCTGGTCTCATAGTTGTATAGGCTGTGGATCTCATGGTGTGCCAGTCCATTGGACTAATTGTTTCCATAAATCTTTGGTTTTCTTCATTCTTCTTGGATCTGGATGAGGAGAGACCCATCGTTACATCTAGATGGCCACTTGCAAGCTTTTAAGATTCCAGCCACTACTTGCCAAAGTAGGAGGTGGAACAGTGTTTTGTTTAGTATGTTATGCCAATTGAGCTTGATGTCCCCTGTGACTATGGTCCCAAACCCACAGGTTCAACTGCTTGCTCCCTCTGGGTAGCTGGCTGTGACCAAGAAGTGAATACAACTTTGTCCCTTGTCAGCTCTTCTATACACCTGGGAATTCTAACAGAACATACAAATACACTTGTAGAACCATTGTCTGCCAACCCTATACTTGGTCTTAGGTACTCTCCCCACTGCACAGGCATACCTAATAGTTCAGCCTGTCCACCCACCTATCCACACGTATACTTATGTTTGCCTTCACTGACTGTATGTGCAAAAGGGTTCATCTTTGTTGTCTGTACCTCCCACGTACCTCTCCATGTCTTCCTCTTACTCAATGCTGGCATGTTGATCACTCACATTTGGTACATTGCCCTTTTCTTCACCCAAATCAATACTTATCTCTACCTATCTAACAGTTTTCCCTCCTCCCACTCCCACCCCTGGTAACTAACAAAGAAAATTTCTTTCCATATATAAACCTTTCCTTGACTTTTACAATAATGGACTAATACAATATTTGTCCTTCTGTGATTGACTTATTTCACTCAGCATAATGTCCTCCAAGTTCATCCATGTAATGTGGTGTTTTGCAGATTCTAAGTTATTCTTTAGGGTTGCATAGTATTCCACTGTGTGTATGTACCATAGTTTGGTTATCCATTCCTCAGCTGATGGACACCTAGGTTGTTTCCATCTTTTTGCTACTGCAAATAATGCTGTGTTCTGGTTACCTAGTGCCGCTCTGACAAGAAATATACCACAAATGGAATGGTCTTAACAAATAGGAGTTTATTCTTACAATTTGGAGGCTTTAAGTCCAAGTTCAAAGTGCCAGGCTCTAGGGGCTGGGTGAAAGCCCCTCAACGTTGGGGTCCA